TAACCCCAAAGTTTGCAGAAATACAAACAATATTCGGGGGGGTAAGCAAAGGAAATGTGGGGTTCCCCTGAAAAGCAGCCCAGTGAGGACTGAGTGTTCACATAAAGTAGGAGACTTTTGAGAGGGGGGAAACTGCCCAGCAGGTGGGAGGTGTAAGGGAATGGAGTTGTTGGAAAAGGCCCATGGAGAAAAAGATATGTAGATATAAAATGGTAGAAATAACCATTCATTCTCCTGATTGTTTATTACATTTATATCCCACCTTTCCCCCAAGGGACTCAAGGTGGTGTATTTTGTTCATAGCCCCCTCCTCTCACCCCATTTTATTCTAACAACAATCCTGGGGATCAATTAGGCTGAGAGTATAGTGACTGACCCAAGTTTACTCAGCTTAACTCAGCTTCAACTGAGATAACTTAATAGCTTAGTCAAGATTTGAATTCCAGTTTCCCTGCTCCTAGTGTAGTACTCTAACCACTATACTACAAGTTCCATCTGCTGAAATTCCACCTTCTACACAGTTGTTAGAACAACAGCCTCTTAACCTAATGTTCAACAGACATTGACTATGGATCACAGGGGGAGAATGGAATGGAGCACCTCACCCATGGCATCTCAGGTCTCTTGAGTGCTGCTGGTCCCTCTGTAGCCAAAACCTCACCACCTTTCCACAGGAAAATATCTGGTGGCTTGGGAGCTCCCAGAATTTGCCGAGGTACAAAAAGATTCTGAAAAAGACACATCAGCACACACAGTCAAAGCACCCCAGTGAAGGCTGAGCATGCAGGTGGAAGCTGTGAGTAGTTGCTATTGTTGAACAATTGGGAGTCAGAATTCTTGCTGAGTGTGGGCACAAAACCCTGTTTCTATGCACCTATGATTGTATGTGCAATCATTTATATAACCAAAAATAGCCTACCCAAGATTATGTTGCCCATGATTGGTTGCAGAAATGTATAACTCTGGTAAAATTTCATACTTAAACGTTCATATTAGAAGAAGAGTACTTTAAAATGCTGAGGATCTTTTGTGAGGGTTTTAGTGTTGTGTATTTTTGTGTTTTGTATTGTAAACCACCCCACAGTCCTCAGATCCTCAGGGCGGTATAGAAATTTAATAAAGAAATAAACATAAATGAATTTTTAAAAATATATCGCAAACCTATGCAGAAATATGACAAACTTTACTTACGTTTGGAAATTGAGAAACTGAAGTTGATGGATTCATCCATTCCTATGTCAAGGCTGATCATTCAGAGTGAAAACGCTCTAATCTTGTGTTTCCTTGCGTATAGCATTTAACTTTCCCTAATTTTATGCATAACATAATTTTGCCATGGAATTTCTCTATGTTGTGAAAGTGATACACTGCAGACTGTAGGCAAGTACTTCTACATGATATGCTACTAAATGAAATGTTGCTACCAAATGCTAGGTAAATTAGCCAGGATACACGCAAACCCAAACCAGCTCAGCCAGAAATTTATGTATTTGTTTGTTTATTTGCTTGCTTGCTTTACTTCATGGATTAAAAGCAATATTTTAAAAACCTGTTTTCTTTTTCTAGAGACTACTGTGGGCCTGTGAAAATAACTGACAACAACACAGCATTTCTTCTGAATTTCAGCGAATTTATAGATCGATACACCCCCCAAAATCCCTCATGTAAGCCTTACTTTTTCATTAAATGAAACTGCTTGCAGGAGATGACAATATAAGTGCAGCAACTGGTTCCAAAGAAGAAATGTTGATGTGATCACCCTGTTTCCCATAATTACATATAGTACCAGATCTGTTTACTGGGTTTATGAATGCAAGATTGCAGAGTTTCATCCAGTTCATAGGGTTGTTATGTGAAGATAAAAACTGTTCTGACCTTCTTACATCAAGGGCATTTCAAAAGCTAATACTTTTTAAAACTTAGCTGGCCTTTTGATTTTAGAATCTGTCTGTCATTGAAACAGGAGTAATAATAATAATAATAATAATAATAATAATAATAATAAAATTTATTTATATCCCGCCCTCCCCAGCCGATGCCAAACCATACAGGTTTAAAATTTGAAATATTTGTTGAAATCTGAGTTCATTTTTATTATGGGGTGTGGTCATAGTATGGGGAAGGATCTTAACTAAGCACTAGAGTCAGGCTGTGCTTTCAAAAGGTCTGTGTTTCAGTCCTCCCTGCATCTCCAAGTGCAGCTGAAAATGACCCTTCCTCGCTGAAATCTTAGAGAGCCACTTCAAGTCAGTGTAAGCAGTACTGAACTAAATGGACCAATGGTCTGACTTGGCAGCTTCCTGTGATCTTAATTAACCTTTGGCTTGTTTCCTTTGATAGGTAATGATATGGTTATGAGAGCTTTGCTGGATGCAGGATTTACAAGTGAACTTGTTCAGAATTACTGGAGTAAGCAGGACCCGTGAGTGTTATTTTCCTCCCCCCTACCAAACAATATGGCTGCTTCTGGGGGTTTTAATGGTGTGTTAAAATAATCCTGGATCATTTCTGATAATTAGAGCACACAAGGAACACACACGGCATTGAGTATATGAAAATGCACACATTTGTGTTTTAGACTATCTTAGAAAAACTTGTGAATATTATGTACAAAGGGATGCCAATCATTCCAAATTCAGTTCAATTCAAATATTTCTGTCTCTCTTTTCTTCCTCCTACAGTGAGGGAATTACAGCACGATTTGTAGCTACGGATGGAGGGATCACTAGAGTATATCCCAAAAGGTAAGGGTCTGTTTCTTTCTAAGAAATACAACAGAAACACTGGCAAAATCGATTTCTTAAGCATGCCTTTAAAAAAAAATCATTTTATTATAAATATCAATACATTACAAAACAATATATACTTAACAATACATTACATATATTACATACAACGTATACCTCACCTAATTTCTTAAGCATGCCTAACTCAGGGTTGGATGGTGGCTGAAGTTCTTGCTAGCCCCCATTGAAATTGTCACTTGGTAATGGAATATTAAATGGAGATGCGGGTGGCGCTGTGGGTAAAACCTCAGTGCCTAGGACTTGCCAATCGCATGGTCGGCGGTTCGAATCCTCGCGGCGGGGTGAGCTCCCGTCTTCCGGTCCCAGCTCCTGCCCACCTAGCAGTTCGAAAGCACTCTTAAGTGCAAGTAGATAAATAGGTACCACTTTACAGCGGGAAGGTAAACGGCGTTTCCGTGTGCTGCGCTGGTGCTGGCTCGCCAGAGCAGCTTCGTCACGCTGGCCACGTGACCCGGAAGTGTCTGTGGACAGCGCTGGCCCCCGGCCTCTTAAGTGAGATGGGCGCACAACCCTAGAGTCGGACACGACTGGCCCGTACAGGCAGGGGTACTTTTAATGGAATATTAAAATAAGAGTCTTCACAACAAATATATTGAATACCCCAAATATAATATTCAGACCCTTAGGGAGGAAACAGAGGATGGTACTCAGAATCAATGTCCATGCCCTAGGTTTGATTCCCATACCCAGATATTGAAAATAATATGCCCTTGATTGGCATATTATAAAGTTGTAATTCTCTTAAATTACAGTAGATACATTTTGAACAAACTGTGTTTTTCATATTTTGAAATTCAGTTACTGTACAAGACAAAATGTAACAGGGAAAGCTTGTGCTGAATCATCCCTGTATAGAATAGCCAAGATCCAGTGAGCTTCCTCAGAACACAGCCTGTGGAACTGAAAAGGAAAACAAAGGCAGACACAAATCCTTTATCACTAACTTTTTTTTAAAAAAGTACCTCGATTTGAAAAGTGGTTTGTTGCTGGTGTTGAAAGGCTGCTATTCAAGAAACATAAGCTCAAATTCCCTTTGGGCATGTGGAATTAGTTGAGCACTCGGCTTATGTCTGTAACCAGTTTCAGGTTTTCACAGCATTTCAGAGTTGGAAATCAGAATGGGGTTGTGGAGATCCCAAACTTAATAATGGGATTTCCCAGATTGCTCATTGTCTCCTGTAGATGGTTGGATTTTGACTGGAGATTAACTAGGAGACGTAGCTCATGGACCTGAGACCTCTTGATCTTACGCCAGGTAGAATCCTGGCTGTCTAGTATTGTTTGAGCGAGCCATTTTCTGTAATGTGAACATATGCAGGGAGCTATATTATTACAATGAGTCACATTTTAAGGTTTTCAGTAACATTAACAAACAGTACAATCCTACAGTCTACTCAGAAGTAAATTTAGTTAATTTCAATGGGCCTTACTCCCAAATAAATGGATTGCAGCCTTAGATTTCAATCCTAGAGCCCAGTGGTGGGAAGCCTGAGACCCTCCCAACGCTGCTGTTTTAACTCCCATCAGCCCCGGCCAGCAGGGTCAGTGGTCAGGTGGTGAATGTGAAGGGCCAAATGTTCCCCACACTTTCCTGTGAGTAAGCCCCATTGAATTCAGTGGAGCTTCCTTCAGATTAGGCATGCACAGGTTAAGAAAACATGTGAGAATTAAGACAAAAAGCTGACATTAATGTCTCATGTTCAGTGCAGGAGAATATTGGACAGAAAATCCTGAAACCTATGAAGAGAGCTTCTACAAAAGGAGCTTAGATAATGAAAACTACATCTTCACAGCTCCCTTCTATAACAGTAAGTCACTGGGCACCCAAAATTATCTTGTTAAACTCCAGATACAGTACGGTCTATCCATATTACACAACTATGGAATGTTGAAGACATCTGGAAAAGTATACATAATGGCTATGAAGATTACCATATAGCAATTATGCATGTCTGTTTCTCAAAAGTTTTAGCTAGAAGTCAGGAAATGTTGCCAAAGGATTTGTAGGAAGCTGCAGTTGAGTCAGTGAAGCATGACCCTGACTTCCATAGTTAGGTTAGGGCTTCCTCTGGTGTTAAGATTTTAATTCAATAGCACAATCCTGGGAGGCATTTATAGAATCATAGAATTGTGTGGTTAGAAGGGACTCAAAGGATCATCTAGTCCAACCCCCGCAGTGGAGAAATATCCAACTGGCCCATACAGGAATTGGAATGCACGACCTTGGCATTATCAGCACCATGCTCTAACCAACTGAGCCACCTATTCATGGTGAATTGCAAACAGGCACAACCTAATCTACAAACAGATACAACCCAATTTATTTGGTTTCTCTCTGACACACCAAGACTGTTTCATAGTCATCTATTAAATGTTTGGGTTTCCTTCCTTCCTTCCTTCCTTCCTTCCTTCGTTCCTTCCTTCCTTCCTTCCATATCTCAGGAAGCATATCTGAAGATGGCATTATGGTCAGCAAGGCTGTGAAAATAACCGTCAATGGAAAACTTCTGAAACCTGCAGGTAGAAAGGAATAATATTGACATTTCTTGACTGTTGTTATTGGACATAGTAAACAGCAACTGAAGTTCTTGTTTTAAAGAGCAAATCTGCATTACTTAGCGTACTTGTAAGTCTCTTTGACCATGCTAAAGGTCCCACAGATTTCTGAATAAAGCTGTTTATTAGTTTTTCCCTTTTGAGGGAATATGAACAAAAGAGTATTGGTAAGACAGTTGCAAGCACTCTTGGATGACACTGATTACCTTCTCCAATTTCAATTTGAGTTCAGACCTGATTGTGAGACTAAACTGGTCTTGGTTGCCCTGATGGATGACCTTTATTGGGAGAAGAATGGAGGGATGCAACACTTGGTCTTTCTTGGTCTTTCGGTGGCATTTGAAACCATTGACCATATATCATCCTTAACTGACTGACTTCCCTTATATATTGTGTATTCCCTGTTAGTTGTCGGAGTAAAAATCAATGTGACCAACTGGATGGAGAATTTCACCAAAATCACTACAAAGAATCAGGTAAGGAACTTGTAGCTTTTCTTTTGAGTATCAATGTGAATACTTCAACTTACATCTAGGATTGTTTTATTGTGTGCTCCTGCGCTACAGCTCGGTATCCAATTGGAAATATTGATTCAAACATTCATACATAAATAAATGGGCAGAAGTTATGCAGTGGATATAATGGTTACCAATATCCAATAGTGTAACATCAAGTGCCTTTGACTGATTATCATGCTGAGTAGAGATGGCCTAAAGAGAGTCCTGCTTTATCCTACTACTGTTTGTCCTTCCACTTTTTCCTCCTTTCCAAGCACCCAAAAATGTACTTAGGGTGGGAGAAAAAGGAATAAAGGGGGAATAAGCAGCTGCTAGGGGTGGGGTGTCTAGCTCCTTGGACATTCCCTTCAAGGTGAAGAAAGGGATGTGTGGGCAAGAGTAGTAAATCTGGGAGTAGGACGAGTTACCTACCAGATTTGTCAAGAATCCATCTTCCTAATTACCTTTTTCAGCATATGTAACTTTCATTGGAAGTCTGGTTATTCAGGAGTTGCAGAACTAATACTTTTGCCTGACTTTGAGCATTTTACTTTATGTTGGATTAGTGTGCATCTTCTTGGCTCTTGGAAATGTTTTGAAATATTGTCCTGAGATTTTTATGGCCTTGCAACGGCAGTCAACGCAAGCTGTTGAGCAGCAGTGGTGAATTTTGACAAATGTAAATATTCTGCACAAATACTTGACATTTGACCTGGCTACAAAAGCAGCATGAGCACAACTCTAGATTGAATATCATCATTCTTTGTTTAAGAACAGGTTTCATATGTTGCATTATATGTCTGTTTTTCAGTGCAAAAGTGAACTGTGTGGATGTGAAAAGAACAGTCGGGTAAGAATGTGTTCATGAATAAATCATTTGCAGATACTGAAGCCATGTTTGTGGGTGATGCCTCTACAGGGTGGACTCCTTGCTGCATCCTGGCCTATCTTATAAGATTGTTGTAAGCATGGCATATTTGCTTTGAAGCACAAAGACACTATGTCAATGATAAGCATTATCTTACTATTATCCATCCCTGGAATACCTCAATCAGCAGAACATGAGCAGTGCTATTTTTTCTAGAAAAAGAGGTGTTGGAACATACACTGAACCCCTTGTACACTTATAATGGCAATGGCGCCCACCTGAGAGGTGTCGGAACTGAGTTCCGGTGAGTTCCAGCTGGAAAACGCTCTGAGCACGAGACTCTTAATCTCAGGGTTGTGGGTTCAAGCCCCATGTTGGGCAAAAGATTCCTGCATTGCAGGGGTTGGACTAGATGACCCTTGTGGTCCCTTCCAACAATTCTGATTCTATGATCATCTTGCTGCCGTTGAGACATGTTTTCTTTGCACCAATCCAGAGATCTTATATGTGCTTATATGTGCACATCTAAACTGAGACTAAGATGAACAATCCCAGCTACTCATATTCATTCACCTCTCTTTATACTCCACGGCATCCGACTGAGTATAAAGATCCTGCCATCAAAACAATCATACAACAACAAAAATTGGAATCAAAATACATTATTAGAACATTGTCATTATTTATGAATGCAACAGCAATAAACAGCAATAAAATAATTGGTGCTGTATCGAGAGAAAGATCAAATAAATAAGAGTTAAAAGCTGCATATGTTTCAATTCTGTCTTTAGCAGCTACAAGAGGAGAGTGACTGGTGCCAGTACTACAGTTTATGAGTAGATGGGGGACAGGACAGTATCCTTTTCTTCATGAAATGATGGGCAATAGCAAATGATTTCTCCCTTTTTGTTTATCTTCAGTGAGTAATATGATCATTAGGAAAACTGCTAACTATTATTTTATAACTGGGCAGGTAACTACAACTGCAGTCCTATACACATTTACCCAGGTGGTGAAACTCATTCTCCTTAGGCTGGCACGGGGCTGGTGCTCAGCTCAACAAGTATGTTCTGAATGGTGACTATAAAGCAAATAATAATTCCCCCCCATTGTCCTCCTTGTCTTTCTTGCAGCATGTTGACTGTGTTATCCTTGATGATGGAGGATTTCTCTTGATGACAAATCAGGAATGGGATATGCAAGAGGTAGGTGTGATACAGATCAAGTTGTCTGACAAGTTGTCTTACAATCAAAATGCTGTCTATTTTATCAAATCAAATTACAAGCTTTAATATTTGAGTTTGACTTAAGATTTCAGATTTCATAATAACCAAATTAGAATGGCCAGGACAACTCTCTCATTCAGAATCTGTATCCATGACAAGAGTACAGGACTGTGCAAGCCAATCTTTCTTCCTTCATCTTTGATCATAAAGTGTGTTATGTAGAAATAGAACAGGGTACAAACTTAATGTTCACATTTTGAAACATTAGGTGAACCCAAACACAGCAATCCATTGAAACTTGCACTTCTCTGAATTTTGCATTGCAGTTCTCCAGCCAAGTCACGTTTACAAAAATTTATACACTAGGATAAAATGTGCATAAAAAATTATACATTAATGAAGATTTTAAAATGCATTGCATTAGGGGACATTGCTTTGCATGAATGTGCTATGTTGGGCAAAGTTGCATGTAAATGCTCATTTTAGGAGAAATTCAGTGATGGGTTTTCTGGAAGACTGATGTGGAAATGAGAACTCATTGGAAAAATGAGAAACAGAGAGGAACCAAAGTGGACAGATTCACTTGTCCCTAGTTGTGGCTGATACACACCTGCCTTATGCATATCACTGAAAAGAGCATCAAATGAACCTCTGCTATGAACTTACACAAATGCGTCCCCCATAATGATAATAATAATAATAGTAATTCTTCTTATTATTATTATTATTTATACCCCGCCCATCTGGCTGGGTTTCCCCAGCCACTCTGGGCGGCTTCCAGCAAAAGTTTAAAAATACATTAAAACATCAGTCATTAAAAACTTCCCTAAACAGGGCTGTCTTCAGATGTCTTCTAAATAATAATAATTATTTATTTATTAAAAACCTTTATATCCTGCCTTTCAAAAGTGCTCCAAAGGTGGCTTACATGTAAATAGAATACAGATTCCTAGACAAACTCAAAACATTATTATGCAGACACCATCAATAAGTATATAATTTTGCATATAAAACTCACCTGCTCTGCTCTCTGACTGAGCCATAAGACTGAGCCTAAAACAAACCTTGTGTGTCCTAAGTGCAGTGAGTAGGAGGACTGAGCTGAGAGTGGGAGGGGAGTCGAAGTTGCTGCCCGGTGTGTGGGATGGAGAGGGAGGGAGGTCAGGGAAACAAAAAGCAGCTTTATGTGTGCATGAAATGTATATAATATGCAAGCACACAGTTTTGTTGTTCATTTTAAAAATGTGTATTTTAATGGAAATGAAGGGGATGGGAACTTGAGTCAAATTGAGATCCAGAAGTGAGACATACATTAGAAAACAACTGTGTGGATTAGCCTGACGTCAAAAGAAATTGTGATGTTCTGTCCCTAGATCTAGCCTTCTTTAAATCTATACCTATAGAGTAGTTAACTATTGGGTTCAGGCTTTGAATTTATATGTCCTTTCTCCTTTTTTATTGCTCTTTTTACTTAGATGACGAGCCTTGCATTTGTAATAATTCATTGCCATTCTACAGGCAGTTTTGATGCTCCAGGCCAAAGCTTCCAAGTATTCTCAGTTATATTGCACCCAAAATGTTGCTGGTTGCATTATTTGTTAATTTTTTAAAAAAAACACATTAAAAATAACGTTTAATTTTTAAAATTATTGTTTTTTCTGTGTTTTTAACAATTCTTGTTTTAATCTGAAAGCCACATTGAGTCCTTTGTTGTTGTTTAGTCGTTTAGTCGTGTCTGACTCTTCGTGACCCCATGAACCAGAGCATGCCAGGCACTTCTGTCTTCCACTGCCTCCCACAGTTTAGTCAAATCCTATCAGGGTGTAAATATAAGAGCTATTATGTCTCCCAGTCTGTTTGAAGAGAATTGTCTTTCTTTTTAAACAATCTCTTTTCCTTCATTAGATCGGAAAATTCTTTGGTGAGATTGACCCTGGCCTCATGCGAAATCTCATCAACATGTCCTTATATGCCTTTAACAAGTCTTATGACTATCAGTCTGTGTGTGACCCAGAAGAAGAAGCAAAGCAAGGAGCCGGACTCCGCTCTGTCTATGTGGTCAGTATCCTCTTGCCAGGATGTAGATGGCACTTTGGTCTAAACCACTGAGCCTCTTGGGCT